ACCTGGGATTGAACTGGTATCTTGTGATCTGACCTGTGGAGTGCTAACCACTGCACTATAGACCCACAGGTCTTAATTATAATAATTATAATTTTATTATAAAAGTAATATATATATATTATTTTTAAACAAAAGATTGTATAGTTAATAATTATATAAAAACTATAAATTATTTGTAACATTATATATAAAGAATATCACTATTAATATTGTAATATATCTTTTTATATCTTTTATATTATTAGAAAAGTAATTATAAATTGTTATACTTTTTGAATAGAATTTTCAATATTATAAATAATAGTATAAGAAAATAATAATTAGTTATTAATAATTTAAAAATTTAAAAAAATTAAAAATTTTATAGATTAATCAAAATCAGATTATTTACAAATTATAATAATTTGTTATAAACAAATTTTATTATATTATATTTGTTTTGAAAAATGTTTTACAATAATTAAAATATGATCAAGATTATAAATTGATTATAAATTTACTAGTATATAATATATATTATAAATAAATAATTTGATTGTATAAGTTAAAAGAAAAAATCTATTATTATGAAAATCTTATTTAAAAAAAAGATTAGTATAAACTAAAAAATATAAAAATTGAACTACAAATAATTAACAAAAGATTATTTAATCAAATAAAAATAATTTTCTTTTGTTTTTATTTAATAAATAGGAATATTGTTAAAAAGAATCTGATGAATTATTATTAGATTAACATGTTAAGTTATATAATTGTTAAATTTAAATGGAGAAGAAATTATAGTTTGGAGATATTTCATAATTAAGAATGTTAGTTACTTAATTAATATTGAAAAAATTATAGATGGTAATCTTTATAAAAAAATTTTAAGTTTTGGGTTATTAAACACATTTTTCAATTTAACTTTAACAAAGATGATATTGTTTTTTAACAAGATAATAATTCAAAACATATTGCAAAATCAACTAAAAATTGGTTTTATAAAATTCTATTACTTTATTAGATTGGTCATCTCAATTTCCTGATTTAAATCCCATAGAAAACTTATGGATCAAAGTTGATGAATACTTATAAGGTTACCCGATCCTGTTTTTAATAAAAAAAAGATTTGTAAAAAAATTTAAAAATAGTATAAGATAGCATTAGTATTGATTATTGTAATAAGCTAATTGATAATATGCCAAAATATATTAATGATGTTATCAAAGCTCAAGGTGAATATACTAGATGGTAAACGTTAATAAATGCTAACAAATTTATAATGGGATTTTTTTTTAAATGTAATTTGTAGTATTAAAATTAATGCACAGTATTAAAGTTTAAAAAAAGAAAAAAAAAATGCATCACTTTTGAGATAAAACCATGATTATTATAAACGTTACGATTATATTTTTTTTATTTAATTATTACTCAACCATTTTTTTGTCCATGTTAAATTAATTCGAACGACTTGTATTTCTGTGTAATGCTTGAATGGCAAAAAAAACAATCACAAAATTTTTCGGCAGGTGATTTATTTTTGCGAGCTAGTGTACATGATTATTTGATACGATTAGACTTTCGAGGTTTTTGCATCAGCTGAACTTTATTGGTTACAATTTTAGTGTAACCAAATCAAACTAACATAACTATAAATTACGCGTCGGTTTTTTTTACATGTTAATATTTTTGATGATTTTGATGAAAAGACATTACCTGAGATCACCTTCGTAATGATTAGTGAAGCCATAAAAGGTCTATATTATAACTCGAATTTGTTCACGTTAACATTAAGAGAAAAGTTATAATAATTCTATAAGTATCTTGCTTTAAAAGTTTTGTACTGATATTATCTTACTCTTTCTTGGAGTAGATCACCCTTCCTTCGTGGAGTAGATCACCCTTCCTTCGTGGGAGTGTTATCATTCTTCCTTCGTGGGAGTGTTATCATCCTTCCTTCGTGGGAGTGTCATCACCCTTCCTTCGTGGGAGTGCCATCACCCTTCCTTCGTGGGAGTGCCATCACCCTTCCTTCGTGGGAGTGTTATCATCCTTCCTTCGTGGGAGTGCCATCACCCTTCCTTCGTGGGAGTGTTATCATCCTTCCTTCGTGGGAGTGCCATCATCCTTCCTTCGTGGGAGTGTCACCATCCTTCCTTCGTGGGAGTGCCAATTCACCCTTCCTTAGTGGAGTGCGATCACCCTTCCTTCGTGGGAGTGTTATCTTCCTTCCTTCGTGGGAGTGCCAATTTACCCTTCCTTAGTGGAGTGCGATCACCCTTCCTTCGTGAGAGTGTCATCATCCTTCCTTTGTGGGAGTGTCATCATCCTTCCTTTGTGGGAGTGTCATCATCCTTCCTTCGTGGGAGTGTCATCATCCTTCCTTCGTGGGAGTGTTATTATCCTTCCTTCGTGGGAGTGCCATCACCCTTCCTTCGTGGGAGTGTTATCATCCTTCCTTCATGGGAGTGTTATTATCCTTCCTTCGTGGGAGTGCCATCACCCTTCCTTCGTGGGAGTGCTATCACCCTTCCTTCGTGGGAGTGTCACCATCCTTCCTTCGTGGGAGTGCCAATTCACCCTTCCTTCGTGAGAGTGTCATCATCCTTCCTTTGTGGGAGTGTCATCACCCTTCCTTCGTGGGAGTGCCAATTCACCCTTCCTTCGTGGGAGTGTCATCATCCTTCCTTCGTGGGAGTGTCATCATCCTTCCTTCGTGGGAATGCCAATTCACCCTTCCTTCGTGGGAGTGACATCACCGTTTCTTCGTGCCATAATTTTCATTGCTCTATTATTTTTATGGATTAATTTTTTTCTAAATTCTTTAGTATGAAAAATTAGATATTTTATTTTGGATTTTAAATGTCCTGCACCATAGTACTTTGGTAATAAATAAAGATAATACAACTTAGATAAAAGTGTTGTCTTTAATATAAATAGTAGTATTTTTTATTTTTGAGTTTCATACGTTTCCATTCGCTTATAGCAAGATAATTTTAATTTAAAAATATTGAATTATTAGTTTTCTAACAATATATAGATAAAACTTAAATTAATCCAATTTTGCTTTTTTTTTTTTCGAAGTATGATCATATTTAAAATACAAATGAAATAAAAATAAAAGTTTTTCACAGAATATTAATCCTTAATTTTGTAATCCATTAAAAACAAGTCCTTGTAAATTTTGCTGAAATATTTCTATTTGTATCTTGTGTACTAACAATTATTACAGGCATTTCGATTATAAATAAGTATCATAAATTACGAGCAAACATCTGTCAACCATAAAATTTAATACAAAGAGGATCGCAAAGAACGAACAACGCCTTCCATTGCACGCTTCTTAACACGTTCCTCAGGGTCCATTGTTAACAACGATTGATCTCGTGACCACCTATAATATATGTAAATCGAAAGGCTAGATTAGAAAGCAAGTCACGAAGGGTAAAGGTTATCATTATATAGCATTAATTACTTGTCAAATAAGTTTATAACATCTGTGGGCTTGAGACGAGAATATTTTTTGTTTCGCGTTGAAGGGTCCAAATATTCTTCCACATTATCAGAACTAAGCAATGTGACAATCTGTTATTAGGTAAACGAAGAACTATTATTAACACACAGTCTAATATCCAATAGAATTATCTCTTAAAATCACGAAAGTCAAAATAACCTGTCTTAATTCTAAAAATGCGTCGGAAATATTTTTATCTTCGAGACTGTGCGCAAAATTTTCCAAAAATGTGACGTCGACGTTCAAATTAACGACAGCGTTTGAATTAATCCTTTTCACTTGGGAGCTTAAAATCAAGTCCTATGAAAGAAAATTTAATATGTTCGCTTCAAATTGAACAAAATAAAGGTAAGTCGGCTGCAAGAAACAAGGAGATGTAACATACACGAAGCGATGTCGCTAAATGACTTAGCGTATCAAAATACATGAAGGTCTTGATTGACATTGGGAGATTATACAATGTAGAATTAATGAGTGCATCAAGAAATCCAACCATATCTATTGTCAAACGACTTTATATTAGTAATTAAATTTTACGTAAAAACATTGTGGATTTTAATCATTTACAGATCTATGCTCCAAAACTTACCTTGAAGAAATGGGCTTGGATGATTTTGAAACGTTGCTGGAGTCCTGATCACAAAATAAGGAATTTAAAATGAGAGTTACGTAATCAAAAAAAAAAAATCTTACCAATCATAATCTGCTAGTTCTAAGAAATCATCAATCTTTGAATTAACAAGTTCGAAAATACGTTTCTCAGCTTTCTTACGAGTTTCACGAAACTCATCGGACGCTTTCAGTTTAATCTTCCCTCCACGATGCGAAGATCTTGATTTAAGATCAATTGATCGATTAATTAAGCTTAAAACTTTATGAATGATAGATGAAAATATGAAATTACCTTTTTGTCTTCAGTAATTTTTCAAGTTCCTCACACGCGTTTTCAAAATACTCAAGATTAATTATTATTTGAACTATCTGTGAGATATTTGTGCTTTGGAGTTTGCCACGTAGCACGCCGTCCACGTGCTCAATCAACATGTTATCTAGTGTCTTAATCATAATTAGAAAAGTATAAGCAATGATGACAAGGAATGTCGATTAAAAAAAGAACATTACATATACTAACTTGTTTTGCAATATCGTCTACATAACCATATTGCCGAGAATCATCCTCGGCAAATTGATAGTATTGACTCACAAAATTCTTAATGTCTAGGCAGCACGATGGATATGCTTGGGAAAATGGAAGAGTTCTTGGATACCTGTTAATGGATAAAAAATAGTAAAAATGTGTTCTAACATAATCTCTCTTTGGATATCTACACATACGCTTGACTGATTCGGTGATCTTCTTTAAACCAACAAGCATCAACCACGGCGTTATACTCTTCGGGGAATTGAACTTGCATAGGCATATAATCATCCTCAAGGATTGTCTAAATTTTCATATTTTAAGACTTAGTTGTTAATCAATTTGCACATATCTGCATTAAAAAACATTACCTGATGAAAATCTTCAGAAAATTTGCGCTTCAACATATCAGAATATTTCTGGAATACGGTCAAGATTAAGTCGGTGAAACTGTGAACATTGAATCCATAATCCTGCGAAAAGGTACATTTATAAATGCATTAATTAACAATTACCCTGATAAAGAAAGAAGTAGGATTCTTTATACCTCCAGTGTTTGAATAAATGTGAATAAAGAGAATTTAATTTTTTGAAACAATTCTGGATCGTGGCAATCTTCCAAACTTTCCGCAGATATTTTCACAACTTTTGATATAACAGCGTCCCAAAGATTATCCACTTCTGATTGAGATCGAAAATTTTGAGTTGAATGCACAATAACATGCTCGATTACAAAGAAGCCCACAATTTCCTGAAGGAACGCCTCAAAACCCTTTTCATTACTTTCCCTCAAAGTAAAAGACTGTGAAAGTACTAAATTTGCTTGGGCCTGCCATAATGGAAAAAAATCCAGGTTAACTTTCTTAACAGTAAAAATCGAACAAGTAATAAATTATTGTAAACCTTTCTATCTTCTTCATAATTGGACTTGAATTCACTCCGTTTTCCAAGTTCTTCATAAATGTGAAGGCATTGATATAGCGGCCTAAAATCAATCTTGACCTGGTCGTTATTTATAATATTGACTTTACAACGATAAATTACAAGCATCAGTACCAAAATCACTATATCATCTTGTATAATTAAAGATTGACCTACATTCATTTTCCTCATTCATCACAACTTCAATTGGTGAGCTGACAGAAACAGAACGCAAATCTGGATTTCTCTGAGTTTTAACCCTCCATCGTTCTTGGCGCAATTTCATTTGTTCCATTGCAATTCTGCCAACCTTCCGTGTATCTTGTTGAACACTAATACAATAATGCATCCATTAAATTATGAACGAGTGAATTGATTCGCTACTGTCTATGTTCCACTTACAGAAATAGCCATTCTTTCATCTCCTTTGTCACCGCGTTTTTAACATTATTTTGCATTACGGGTATGGATTCCTCTAATATAATGAGGTAATTATTATCCTCAGTGTTGAAATATGTATGTATTAAAATATAACATTTACATACGCATATGCTTAGCGAACTCGTATTGAATCACTTTGCGTAAATGGACAGTCTGCAACTCTTCTAAAGTCCTTAATGCCGAAAAGTATCTTCGTTCCTCGACTAGATTTTGAACTCGATTGGCCATATCAAGTACATGTAGACACAATTGCAAAGTTTCAACTGCCTCATCAATGTTTTTCTGAGTCCTTCGCGTCTGTATAAGCTCTTTTTTCTAAAATCACAATTGTAAAGGCATAGGTTAGCCAAAGGTAATATCCACTTTAGACAGTAGAATAATTAAATCATTCAACCTTTGCAGCAACTTTTTTCCCGGACTTTTGTTCATCGTAGTTTAGATCGATTATCTTATTTTTAAGATTAACTGTCCCTTGTCTAACTTTTAACAATTGATCTACAGAGTGTACAAATTCCTATTTAAAAGACGAGGGATTAGTTCTAATAGGCTGTTTTCACAAACTTCCAAGTTATTGTCCGAGCAGTAATAATATCTAGAGTACCACACAACCTTTAACACTTTCACACCTGATAATTGCTATTACACATTCGTTCTATCTCGCCTTCTTTTTTTCTTACGAACGATGTTAGTTGCTCAAGAAACGCTTCTTGTCTCCCAGTATCATAAATTGATTTGATTATTGGTCCAAGTTGTTCGAGATTTTCATTTTCCGAATTTAATTCAGCGGACAAAACTAAAGATTGGAGTTGCTGTTGATCGTTGTCGGACATTTTCGATCTAAAGTTTCAATACAATATAATTTGGGCCATTTAAAGTTGACGTGTTACACGAAGTCAAATATTCTACCCAACTAGTTACAAAAAGAAATTAGACATCAAGTGTTTTTTTATACAGTATATGGAGTCATTTGTATACAATTAAAGATACATCTATCTTATGTTTTTTTTTTTGTAGGTAAACATTATTTCTTTATTTGATTTGTATATAGCAGGGTATACATTGTGAAAGAAACAACATCTCTCATATGTTGGTACAATGAGTTAAATGCTAGCTTGCCCACAGTAATCATATAACTAATATTTAAAAGAAAATTTAAAACAATATATTTTGCCAGGTGGCACCAAGCAGCTATGAATACCTACTCAGCATTAGGAGAAATAGTAGTAAAATTGGAATTGGTAGATAGAGTTGTTAGACTATAAATACATTTGGAATAATTATATTTAGATTGGATGAATAAGTTAGCCACAGTAGAAGGTAGATTAATAATGATGTTATCTCGTGGATTATCAGAGATGTCTTTGACCTGTAAGGTGTTTTTAGCTTCAGGATTAGTGGAATTGGCTGAGTTATGTATCTTGGTATGGTCCCACTTGATTTCAGTGAGAGGTGAAGTATTGGTTGTAAAGCAATGTGATTTTCAAATTAGATCATACAATAAGAACAAAGATTCTGTTGCTGCCTTGATCCAGTTTGTAGAGTCTGTGGTTAAAAAGATTTTGTCTATAACTTTACATAACAACTTAACAACTTGCTATATATGTGAGATCAGTTTATGATTATCATCTGGATGGAGAGTATGATTAATAGTTTTAATAATTTGTTCAGCTACTTGTGATGTTTCCACACATTTGAAAACATGTTAAATGTCTTCTGTACAAAGTTTACATTATGGACAAAGAGTATTTGGGTATTGATTAGGATATAACTGGTGAAGTATAAGATGGGTTGGAAGAGTTCCTAAGAGCAGTTTGATTCTGAAGGCTACTAAGATGCTGTATCTGTTATTATGAAGTTTTCTAATATTTTTGTTGGACTGGTTGATGACTTTTAGACCGTGTGGGATATATGTTTATCTAAATGTTTGGACAACTGAGAAGCTTTCATATACCATGTAGTCTCTGATAATACTAAAAATTTTCTTATACTATCTGATACTGCTACCCAAACAAGTATTATTGATTAGAAGGTTTTCTGGAAAGTGTAGCGAAGGGTTGTTCTACTGGATGGTTCTGGTTGATCTTGGTCTGGATTTTGGTTTGATTTTTTTTTTTTTTTTTTTTTTTTAATCCCGCAATCAGGTTGGTGTCGTTTATTTATTAAATCATAAAGAACCATCA